GTTCCACCCAGTCCTGTCAGAAACATAGCATTTAAGTGGATGGATTAGGAAAATATACAGTCACTGACTGCAAACTGAAAAAAGTAGAAAGCTCAGAAAAAAAGAGATTTTGTGGGAGACAAAGGAATTGTCTACAAAGTGCGTGCGTCAGACACAACAATACTTGGTTGGTTCTGGATGTAGTTGCACACTGGTCTACTTCATATATTCTACTGTAATAAGCCAAGATTTGGCTGGGCTTTCAAAACCTGCTATATAAAATCACTGAAGCTGAAAAGATTGGGTTCACAAAACATGCTAAGCCCAAATCAAATAAATGAGAGTTTGATCCAAGCCATGAAAAAGGTGGACTTTTTCAGAGACAGCTGCGTCTCTGAAACACAAGCTAAATACCCAGATAAGCATTGGCAGCCCACTGGGATAGATAGTTTTTTTAGTCCCCTTGCTTTTTTACTACCCTCCAGGGACTGTAAAAACTGAAGATGATGTGAGTGATGTTCTTTTAAGCATAATAAACCAGAGTAGCACCACTTTTTATGAGCAAGAAGATTCATGAGGTCTTTGAGTGATGGACTGGGGCCACCTTCTAAAATGTAGTGAGTTAATTAAAAACTGGAGCATTAAATAAAAGTGAATTTGATTCCCCTCATTTACATTTAAATGTCATTAAAATTAAATGTAGCTACTATGATTATGCTCCAATTATATATGCAGTAATTTTCCATTTCTGTAATTATTTCTGACAGAAACAGATTGTGGGCTCCGAATTCAGCTTCTTGGACAACAAGTCCATTTGGCCTTGGTCTGATCAGAGAAAAACAAGGCAATGAAGTTAAGGGCTCTATTTTATTTTTAGAGAACAGGATCATGGCCAGAGTAGATGTTTCCGAGTTCACAATAGAGTTGTTATAATTTGTTACATAACACTCTTCTTCCCAAAAGCTTCAGACACAACCCCACTCCCTGCCTTTCAGCTGCACGATTGCCTTGTGAGGTAGGGGACTGAGCCAAGATCAACCCTTGAGCTTTCTGGACGAACAAAGATGATCTTGGGGGAGGGGGTATTAGGTTATACTGTAGTGGCATTTTAATCAATTTCCCTGGGCAAAAGCACTTGCAAGACAATGCAGAGAACTGATGCTGTTAGAGACCAAAAGTAACAGCTAAACCTCTCTCTGGCAGCAGCACAAGAGGGGAATCAAACATCCAGGAACTTCAGATGGAGATAAAAGTTTAAATAAACACTCTTTCAATTGCAGCAGGTTAAAAAGAATGAAGAAATAAATAATAGGCTTTAATTATAAGGAATTGCTAAAACTCTTGCCTAATCAAACAAACACAGGGAGAGAAGGGTTTAATCTCCTTTAGGAAACGATTTCATACTTTGAAACTCTGTTCTAGATCTTAAATGTAGTTCTTTCTTCGGTACAATGAAAATCATCTATCCCTTTATAAGGAAAAAGTAATAGTTTAGGATGGAAGCAAATCTGGTCTTTTCTGATTGGAATCTCTTCATTCTACTTTGGGCATATATTGGAAACCAATTTTTGCTGTACAAAGACATACATGGGCATAATTTTACCTAGTAAATCTTTTAAAATAAATATGCTTCAGCCATGCAAGCGTTTCAGGCTTTTGAAATAAAATGCACTGAGCTGATTAACGAATGCTTGGCACTCATATATAACAGTGCGTTTATGTTTTTACATTTTTAATTAAAATGCTCCCTGGAATCTTTCTGGCTACTGGCCAGTACAAACTTTTAGATATAGGGAAGGAAATCCGAGAGAACTATATGACTAGAATAACTCCTATTTATTCCCAATCAAAATGTGTGGGGTTTTTTTCCTTTTTAATTTGGGAAGGGGAAATAAAATGCCGATGTTTGTTCTTTGTTTTGTTTTGTTTTTCACCAGGAAGCTAAGAATGCTGTAGGTGGCTTTTTTCCATTTTACACTGATGATCACCTAATGAAGCTACCTATTAAGTACAGGTAGCCTTTGACTTAAAACCATTTGTTTATCAACTATTCAAAATTACAATGGCACTGAAAAAAGTAGCAATAGCAATAGCAATAGCAGTAGACTTATATACCGCTTCATAGGCCTTTCAGGCCTCTCTAAGCGGTTTACAGAGAGTCAGCATATTGCCCCCAACAATCTGGGTCCTCATTTTACCCACCTCGGAAGGATGGAAGGCTGAGTCAACCCTGAGCCGGTGAGATTTGAACCGCTGACCTGCTGATCTAGCAGTAGCCTACAGTGCTGCATTTAACCACTGCGCCACCTTGGCTCTAAGTGAGTTACCACTAGTCCTCGCACCTACAAGTGTCACAGCATATTCACTGACATATGACTAAATTCAGGTGCTTGGCAGCCAGTGTGTATTTACAAGAGTTGCAAACTCCCAAGGACACATGTTTGCCATTTGCCACTTTCCCAACTGGGAAAGTTAATAGGGCAAGTTGGATTCCCTTAACTGCATGTTTCTCTCAGGAACTAAAGTGATTCACTTAACCATAGGAAAAAAGGTTGTAAAATCAAGTGTGACTCACTTAACCACCTTGCTTAGCAATTAAATTCTGGTCCCAAATGCAGTTCTAAGTTAAAAGAAAAAACTACCTTTAATAGTAGCAGGCCATTTTTTTATATATACAATGGCTTGAACAGTACAGATGTAAGTAATGATATGAACTTCTATGCCATTTTCTAGCTTAGATTCTAGCTTAGATTCTAGACCTATATTACATTGGCTCAGTTTTATGCTTGTTTGAAGAAAGGTTAAAGCAATGTGCCTAAAATTGTTATAGAGTTAAGCAGCCTGGTCAATTTAGTTTAAAAAAAAACGGGGTCAGTTTGGTGCAGTAGTTTAAGGCATCAAAGACCTGATTCTAGTCCCCACTTAAACCAGGTGATTTTGGGCCACTCATTTTTTTTCAGCAGTAGAAAGGAAGTAGTTGCACAGCCCTTCTGGAACTCTTGTTAAGAAAGCTGGAGGAATTCATCCAGGCAATCATCAGGAGTCAAAACTTGTTCAAAGGCATATACATACAAGCACACAAAATCATTTTCAGTCCATCCAATTATGCATGGTATTCAGAACATCCATTCTAGTGATCAGCTGTCACAGTAATAAAACTGTAGCGTTCATCAAACGTGGTGCTCGATATACTTTGAAAAACAAACAGACTAAGATTGAAAAATGCTGAGATTCATTCTTCCTTGAAGCAGAAGAAAAAGACAAGAGTTGGAAACAATCACAGGCAATTGTTCCTGTCTGGATTTGGTGCCTGGATTTGACAGCTGCAAATGGCACCTTCCATTCTTAGCAGACTAATTTGGAACCAGATTAGTGAAGTGAGCTCCAAATTAAACTGGATCTCACTTCCAAACAAACAGGGATAATAGAGAGCTACCTGGCAATTTGGATAAAAGAACAAACAATCTGAAAAAAAAACAGAGCTATGACTTGCAGCAGTTCATTTAGTGACTGTGAAAAAAGTGAAAAAATGACAATTTTTTCATACTTATGACTTGTTGCAGCAGCAGCTTGAGCCGCAGTGGCACGGTGGTTAGAATGCAGTATTGCAGGCCACTTCTGCTGATCATCGGCTGCCAGCAGTTTGACAGATAGAATCTCACCAAGTTCAAGATTGACTCAGCCTTCCATCTTTCCGAGATCGGTAAAATAAGGACCCAGATTGTTGGGGGCAATATGCTGGCTGTGTAAAGCCACTTGAGGGGTGTAAAGCATTGTGAAGGGGTATATAAGTCTAAGTGCTACTTCTAAGCGCTATTGCTATCTCCATGGTCACCTGATAAACATTCAGACACTTGGCAACTGACTCATATTTATGATGGTTGCAGTGTCCTGGGGTCATGTGATCACTTTTTGTGGCCTTCTGACAAGCAAAGTCAATGGGGAAGCCAGATTCATTTAATCACCATGTTATAACTTGACTTAGCAACAGAAATTTTGGGCTCCATTGTGATGAGGACTACCTGTACTTGCAACCCTTTATAATGAATTGCTCAATACATTAAAATATATATTTGTGATGGGACTCTGGTGTTTAATTTAATTTTAATGGAACAGAGCGAGGTAAACTAAATTCTAGTCTCACTTCAGTGATCCAACCTACTCTCTCCCAATCCTAGGAAGCAGGAAATGGCAAACCACTTCTGATATTTGCCATGATATGGCCAGTGAAGGATAAAGAAAAGGAGGTGTGAGAGAAATTACAGGAAAAAAAGTCCCTTCGGTTTCCCCAGTCAACAGAAATGAACTGGTGGCATGCTGGAGAGCGGAAATAATAATCCAGGGTTTCCCATTTTTTTAAAAAAAGGAGAAAAAACATTGCTTGCTTTCTAAACGTTAATTTGTGCGGAAGGCGACTACACCCGCTGTATGATAGGACTCCGCCTATCCTACCGCACCAAGCGAGGCGCTTTTGTGGCTGGACTGAAGGCTACAGGGGGGGGGGGAATGAAGCCCCTAGTACGTCAGGGATTATGCTAAAGGAAAGCAGAAACAGCTGTGCGTTTGTGTATGCTGTTGTTATTAATATAACTCCGGATTATTACCGATTTCATGTTGCTTCCCCCCCCACACACACACAACGCCTTATAAATGGGGAGGGACCTTCGACCTCCAGGCGGCGCAGGTTCACCACTACTTGCCACCTTTTGCCACATTTCGTTTTTGCAGCTACAAAAACAGACACGTCTAAAAATATTAGCAGTCCGCAATGGAGTCAGTCCGAATTTAGCTAGGGGAGGGAGAGGGAGATGGAGGAGAGGGGGGGGGAGGTCGCCTTTGTAGGGCTCCCCGTTGTTACCAGGATCTGGAGAAAGATGGTTGCCCTTCCTTCTCCTCCGCGATCTCCTCCCCTCACGCCCCCTTTCCTTTCCTTGTTGGCAGTCCGGATTGGCAGAGGCGGAGCTGGAAGGGGGAGGGGAGAGGATCCGGGGGGAGGGGTCTCCCTGGGGTGGGGGGAGGTGGTGTTTGCAGTCAGAGAGTCAAAGGCAAGTGAAGGTGGAAGGAGAGACCGAGTGGCGGAGCGCGGGTAGGAAAGCTGCTGCAGACCCAAGGCAGACGAAGCGACGCACGGACAGAGGGTATCCCGAAACAAGGGGGTGGCAGATAATGTGGGGGGGTGGGGCTGCTAAACTGAAAATGTTATTGTTCTTTTTCCTCTTCCCCCTCCCCTCTTTTCCTCGTATGCCCGTTTCTCCCCAGATCGAGCACCCTGAAAAAAACCAGGCAAGGGAAATCTGTTGCAAGGTGTGCGTGAAGCCGTAAGATGAGAGCGTGCTCTATATTACAGAACCACCTCCCCACCTTTCGGCTCCAACCCCCCACACCCACCCCAAATTGGGTAGCTTTAATTCCCAAAGCAGGCAGGCTGCAAATAAACAAACAAACAAACAAAAAGTCCTCCACCGCCTTTCCCCAAGTCAAAACAGCCTTGTGCTGTAGGAGGCGGCCTCGATGCCAATGTTATTAATGCTAGCATTCCCCCCCCCCCCGTCGTTCTCTTGATTGGGGGGGAGGGGCGGCTTTCTCTTTCCCACCCGAGCCGAAGCTGCTTGGGTTCTTTAATTCGCTGTTCAATTGACCTAATCGGCAAACTCAAATGTCAAATGGGTCGGGTGGGGGGCGGAGGAGAAGGAAACAACAGTCCGGATGAGAGGCAGCCTTTCCCGCCCCCACCCAGACTTTGAAGGGCCAAATTGCCCGCTGGTTTGGGAGAGGAGAACCTTTTCTTCTTGAGGGTATACTGGGAGGGAGGGTATCAGGTGGGAGCGGGAGGCTGAGATCTTTACCTCCCGGGAGAGAGGGAGAAAAAAAGATGGGAGGATTAATCGGATTGCAGTAAAGGGGAGGGGGGAAATGTGTGAGCTGGCTTGTCTGGGTCTCTGAGGAAGAAGGGCACAGAAGAAGAGGTTAAATACAGGTGAGTGCGTAAACTAAACACTGCTGGATGCTGAACCCAAGCTGTCAAAAGAGTTCTAAGTGCTAATGGCTAGAAGCCTGCGCTGAAGACAAGAGTTTCACAGGTTCAGGAATCCAGATGTGTGGGAGGGATGACAGGTGGCTTCCAAAGGAATTGGCTTTAGAGTGGTTTGGTTGGGAGCAGGATCAGCCCCGTAAATGGGTTGGTGGTTAATAGAATTCATGGAGCTGCAACAAGGGAGCTAGTCCCTTAGCACTTTGGGGTGTGTCGTCTCCCCTCCTATCCATCCCAGTGCGTTAAAGAGCTACGAACACAAACAGCAGAGTCTAATGCTAGGTTTCTGAGAGATGGGTTGATTTAAAGCAGGTGAATTTGGGGGTCCCTGCATTTCTTGGGAGAGGGCTATAAAAGACCATTAAGCAGGAATTGATTAGTTGTCCAGAGAACACCAAGAAGTAAAACTGGGTTCCTTCCACTTGTGGGGTTTACAGAAAGGAAGCTTGTGAGGACACTGGGTGCTACTGAGGTTAAATATGCCATGGGGAATCTATGAATGAAGTTCAAAGATTTTTATTCCTAGTTGAAAGTAAGGCATGGTGGGGAGGTGAGACAATGTTCATATTCCCTGGAGCCAGACCCGAGTGTATTGTGCTGCTTGTTTTTGCAGCCAGAGGCTTCACATGGAGGTGCCAAGGGGACTTGGCAGGGAGCCATTCCTTGTGCTGGAACCTGTAGGCACCTGGAAACCTTCTGGCACAGGTTGCCCCATTGGCCCACAAGCATTTCCTGGTCTTGTGCTGAAAATAAAGGAAATGCTTCTCAAACAAGGGTGTTTGCCTCTAGCCATGTTTCAGAAGGCTGTAATTTGACCTTCAGGCCCCTGAAGATGTGGTGTAAGGAGTCGATGCCTTACTGGCCAAAGAAAAAGTTTGTGGGAATAAGCCAAGATGAAAGATTGTAGCAGCAACTGATTTAGTCCACATGTGCTTCCAGGTGCCCCACTTGTCACATAGTTTCAATTGTTTCTATTTTGCTTTGAAATTGGAGCATATTTTGTTAAGATCTGAGTGTCACCAAATCTAGATTAAAGGTAAAGGTAAAAGTTCCCCTTGCACATATGTGCTAGTCGTACCCGACTCTAGGGGGCAGTACTCATCTCCGTTTCAAAGCCGAAGAGCCAACGCTGTCTGAAGACGTCTCCGTGGTCATATGGCCGGCATGACTAAACGCTGAAGGGGCATGGAATGCTGTTACCTTTCCACCAAAGGTGGTCCCTATTTTTCTATTTGCTTTTTTTACGTGTTTTCAAACTGCTAGGTTGGCAGAAGCTGGGACAAGTAATGGGAGCTCACTCTGTTATACGGTACTAGGGGTTCAAAACACCAAATTGCCGACCTTTCTAATCGACAAGCTCAGCATCTTAGCCACTGAGTCACTGCGTCCCTTAAAATCTAGATTAGGGACCAAGAAAATTGGGAGTGGTCAGTAAGCATATGTAGCTTGCTACAGCTTGGGTGAATCATACATTTGAAATTTTTAATTCCTAAGTGGATGCTAATACCTACCTTTGTAGATGTGGGCTAGAAAGATGAAGTCAAATGGTGCTTCTAATATTAACGAGGGATAGGAGGTCCTTTAGGTAAGAAAGGGAAGTTTTGAAGATCTCAATGCTGAATCAGAGTTCCCAGTATCCCTCATCTTAGGCTGCATCTTTGAAAGCAGCACCTGGAAGGCTTCAAAGATTTCTCGCCCATAGCAGATCAACTATTCAGCCTAGGATCAAATGTAATCATCTCATCTTTCAATGATTTGGAGGAAATAGATACAGTATGCATTGCTTACCATGTAAACAATGCACACTGAAGGTGCTGCTCAGGCTCCTTTGGCTTAGCATATGGAAACCTTATTGTTTTGCATTTAATTGTTCAACAGGTGGGTAACGTCTAGCAAAGCAATTTTAAGCTGCACAAACTACACCTGTTGGTCTCTAAGTTGAGCTGGTGGCCAAAAAAAACCCGAGTCCTGCCAAACCAGATGAGAAGAAGAAGGGGGAAAAAGACAGCAATTTTGGAAAGCATATTTGGAAAGAATGAGACAAAGAAGCCAAGAATCTTTAATGTCAGAATCCTTAATGTCAGGAAAACCTAGTATATTATGTTAGAAACAGGGCTACTTTTCCATTTGGAATTATGGATCTCCCACTCCCCTAGTCCATACTTTCCTCTCTGCTTTCTTAACAAGGAATAAGGGAATCCTGATGCCTGGCATTAGCCTAGGCTTCTTTGTACAGGGCTGGGAGTATCTACTAAGTGTAGAGTTGCTACATCATGGAGTCATGACTTTTTGGATGCTTGCTCTTTGCAGGCCCCATTAAGGGCCCCTCAGTGGCAAGAAGCTCCTGGGGAACTGGATGGCTGCCCGAGTCATGGTGATCGAAACAGCTATTTATGGCTCAGGAGGGAGATCCTTGGATGGAGCCCAGCGTGGGAAGCAGACATAGTACCTGAGGGAGGAGTGGAGAGAGATAGAGAGACAGTAGAAGAAAGAATGGAATATTGCATGTTCTTACTGGGCCCTGGGGAGCCTACCCCAGGGTCAAGGATGGAGCAACACTAAGAGATGGAAGAGAGGGTGGGCTTGCAGCCAGGCAGAGGGAAAACAGCCTAGTTGCTAAGAGTGAAGGGGGGAATACTTAGTCATGCATTTGCCTTCCTCTGCTCCCCCCTTCCTCTTTTTGCTTTGCAAGAAAAATGCCAATGCAAAATCTTTTGTAGCATGATAGGGCATGTAAGCCTTAATATACAGAAGTCTCTGAATCATGTACTAGGGACCGGGAAGTAGACATTGGGGGTGGGGGAGAGAAGATGGTGATCCATTTGAGAACAAACAGTGCTACATGGCTCATTTCTCTTTGTACAGGAATGGGTAGGTCCATGGAAGAGACCTTTCTGGGATTGAGATCTTTGTAGCCATAATTCAGTGTACTAACATACTAAGAGCACATGTATTTATGAGTGTAGAGTTCCCTGCTCCAATTTTCCCTTGAGGCAAGAGGAATGACAGTTCCATTTTTTTTCCAACTGAGAAGACTCATCAGGATATATGTCTGGGTTGGCAGAACATATGGACACACCTCTAGCACAGCACAGTTAATAACTTCGTGTTCTGGACTTGTGCAAGTTCCTGTTTTTTTTAAAAAAAAACATTTTAAAAGAAGACTGTAAACTACTGCAGATAGGTAAGACTGTTCCACAATGGGGTTCAGCATCAATTGATGATATGCAGATATCAAGATGTGATGAATGAAAACAGTTCCCATATCCAGATGGACCTTCTGCATTGATTTAGCTTTTATCTTTAAGTGGGGTACTCTCGCACTATGTGGGATAGTTTAGTTCAGGTGGTACAAGTTTAGTTCAGATACACTTCTGTATATTAAGGATTTGCACACAGAGAAATCTGGAATAAGGCTTTGAACCTCGACAATTATTTTTTTAAACCAATTAAATGGCCAAAGATGTAATGATTAAATAGGCTAGAAACTGGGACACCAGTTTAGTTCTAATCCTGCCTTAGGCATGATGCCAACTGTGTGATCTATCTCAGCCCTAGAAAACAAAAAATGGCAAACTACTTCTGAAATCTTGCCATGAAAACTACATGGACTTGTCCAGGAAGTTGCCAGGAGTCACTGGCTTAGGCACATACACATACAAAATATGACAAAAAGCTTATGTTTGCTAAATCTTATGAGATTTATCTATAACTTGCAAGATTTTGTTTATGAAAACTAAAATTTGTTGAAATTGGTGATATTTTGGACATATGTATCAATGTAATATTGTACAGTAATAGTTTATATTACATTAGTGTCCATACCAAAGATTACTGCAGTACGCTGAGATATCATCAGTCATTCTTAGACTGTAAGTTAGGAATCATTATTGTGGTGAAAATGTTCTGTTCATTATGTTGCATTAGTGATATACGAGCGTGTATGAATCAACTCTGAAGCAAAGGTAATTTGCCCAAACTGCCAAGTGAACAAGATAGATAGCTTTAACCAAGGTAAATTAAATATTGAAAAATTAAAAAAAAAACATTTAATTTAAACTTCCCATTTTGAAATGCATATGTTTTCTGAATAGATCCAAATAACCA